AAAATTTCCTTACTTCACTGGCTGAAAATTTCGACATAATTTGAGTCAAATTTTCAGGCTAACAAAACAAATAATCTTACACATTCTGAAAACAAGATGATTATTCTTACACAATCAGTTCTTGTTTAGTAAATCAGTCTCAAAACAAGATCAAAAAGACTTTTTGGCTGATATAAGATTTTAAAACTTGGTAAGATGGACAGTTTTTGCTGTGCATGCTAGCCTCGCTCATGTACAGCGCTGTACTCCCGGGCTCTGTCAGTCCAACATATAGTGATAATGCAGGCAGCTAAGCTATAAAAAACAGTAAAAACACCAACCTTGTTAACATTTCCACTCGCTTTCCACGTCTGTGGAAGACCTTGACCCTCCAGCCCACCTTTCAAATTAACTTCCCAGCGGCAGATATGATAATAAATGATATATGTGACATCATGAGTGAAGGTCGCATTAAGTTAATTTGTGGCCAGTTAAGTTTATTAAATGACAAAATGGATCATTTTAAAACTTATCATTAAACTTTTTAACTTGTTTTTTGAAACCAACATTCTATTCAGTGACCTTGTTTCTCTACACAGATTCAGTCTCAGTAACTCGAGAAGCGTCTAAGAAAATTGTCCGACTTTTTTTTCGTGAGTTCTCACCAAAACAAACATGTTTTCATGAATGGATGTTGAACTTTCCACATACAGATGTATTTTTTTTTATAAAGACTTAAATAAAAGCATCTTTCAAAGATTACTGTCTACATCAGGGACGAGCAATGGTCGGGGCCACATTATTATGTTGACACCAGAGGGCTACGTAGTGATTACCTAAATTTATTAATTATAGTTTTTCATGTTCAAATGCATGTATAACTTTGTACTCTTGTTAAATAAATAAGAATGCAAAACATTTGAAGCAAACAAAAAAATAAATACTTTTTGCGAGCTGAAGTGCAAAGACTCCTTGAGTCTTTGGTTCTATTCTGGTAAAAAGTTGCTGTTTTTAATTGTTACTTTTAGTTTTTTGTTATTGTTGTTTAAATTGTTTGTTCATTTAATTTAAAACCCAAAATTTTATACACATTAAAAACAAAAGATATACCCAACATATACACAACAAAATATATATTTATAAATCAAATTGAAATTAAAGGAGGCAGAAAGAAGAAAAAATCTTATAATTTCTGCCCCTTTTTTCGATATTTAATTTAAAGCAATAATAATTAGGAAAAGAAAAAGAAAAAAAACAAAATAAAAACTTCAATTGATTCTCAAACAACTTAGATATACATTATAGAGTTTCGTATTTCTTTAACAAATTTATTTTTATCTTTCTCTTAAAGAAACACGTTGAACTGGCATTTTTATAATCAGTTTCCAGATTATTCCATAATCTTATTCCCTGAACCAAAGTACATCGGTCCTTCAAGTTTGTTCAAATTCTGGGTTTCACAAACATCTCAAGTCCTTTAATCTTATAAGAACTTTCTCTCTTAACAAATTATAACTGGATGTTTAAAGGCAACAGCTTTTTAAGAGCCTTATACATAAGCTGCAATACATTATAATCAACCAACTCATAAAATTTTAATTCACAAAATATTGTACTTTTTGGTACTTTTTGTATCTTTCTTCTGCTTATTTTGTTCTTGACTTCAGAAAGCATGAATACAAGTTATTTTTTCATACACGCATTTCTTAAGCCTTTAGTTATCCATGGTTTGTCAACACTATTTCTCTTTGAATAAGTCTTTTGCACACAAGTTTTTTTATACAGATCTTCTAAAGTGTTCATGAAACCATCATATGCTTTGTTTACATCATCAACATACACATCCTTCCATTTTTGATTTATTAAAATATCAGTAAACTTCTCTTATTTAGCTTTGTGCAACATGTTGTCGTGGCAGACAGCTTCTCTAAACAGCTCCGTGAACAGATAGTCTACCCAAAATAAAAACTAATTATTTATTTATACTCAAAACGCACTCTTAAAGTAGCTATTGGATTATAAAAATTGTATTGCCTTTTTACAGTTACATTTTATTTATGTATTTATATTTTTGGGGTGGGCGTGGCTTCATTGATGGACCGGACGAAAGCCACCTGTTGGCCACATGTGGCCCGCGGGCTGTCAGTTGCTCGTCCCTGGTCTACAGAACCTCGTTCAATGACATGTTCTCTGCCCTTCAAAAACAACATTATACACAAAAATATGTGCTACTCCCACGCCTCAGCTCAATCTCCGTATTTGAACAGGATACGATTAATTAGTTTAGACAAACAACTTAAATCGAGTTGACTCAAAACAGAAGGAAAGAAACAGACAAACGAAGAGGAGGAATGACTGATGATGGATGAAGGGAAGAAAACAAAAACATGCAGAGAGACAGTGAAGCTGCCACATGTCAGGGTGAGAAGTGAACCTAATCAAAGCAGAAAAGGAGTGCACACACACACACACACACACACACAGAGGTGTCCCTCTTCAGGGTCCAGCCCCCCCAGTTTTGACGTCACAGACGCAGAGACACAAAACAAGGCGTTCTCGGCTGAGCTCCGCACTTGACTCGGCTCACACACACACGCACACTGACACACACACTCTTCAGCTCACATTCAAACCTGCCCTCAGACACGCTGCAACACTTGGCTCAACACCCGCTCAGCCTCTCTGCACGGGAGAACAATCTTCTTGCAAGATGAAACACCCTCTCAGTCTGTCTGACAGAAAAACCTGCTCCATCTGTAGCAGAGAGACGCTCGTTTGTGTGTGAAGCCGCCGCCGGGCGCCCGACCCAGACCCCGTCCCAAAGAGCAGCAGATGTGACCGAGGAGGAGAGAGAAACACAATCCTTCCCGCCCCTCATCCTCGGGAACAATAGCCAGCCTCCAGCTGGAGAGGCTCGGCTTTTTTGTCCTTCTGTTCCAGCGAGGAGTGGACAGACGCGCTGACACGTTTGACCTGCTGCAGTGAGAGGAGGACACGCTGCACTCGGCTCACTTTGATTCAGTACTTGGACAGTTCCTGAGCTGCAAGCGCAGGGAGTCTCTGTGTGCGTTTGTGTTTTCATGAGAGCTTGAGGAAGGACTGAAACACATCCGATTTGGAGAGAGTAATAAAAAAGAAAACTCAGAATGCAGCCGCTCCAGCTCGGCCACACGGATCCCTCTGGAGCTCTGGGATCTCAGAGCAGCAGCAGCAGCCTCCTGAAGCTGGGAGAGAAGCAGCTGTTTGAGAAGTTTTGGAAAGGAACTTTCAAGGCTGTGGCCACCCCCAGACCAGAGAGTGTCATCGTGGCGAGCATCACTGCCAGGCGGAGAGTGACTGAGTGAGTTCTCTTCATTCTTCTGTCTTTGTTTCGCTCAGTTATTCTTTAAAGTTGAGTCAAAAAGGCTCCTCTGGAATTAGCTAGCTGCTAATAACTGCTAATAACTGCTGTTGGCCATCAGATAATTTCTGGATTTTTTTTTTGAAAATAGAGGTCCAAATATTGAGTCAAACATTTTGACCCAATATTTAATCAAACCAGCCCAACTTAAAACCCAACAACTTGAATCCAGCAGAGTTATCAAAATAACCCAGCAGTTTTTAGTGTGTGCATTTCAACAAGTGTTTCTCTTGTGAAAGTCGGTGCAAAATTTGGACCTGAGAGTCAAGTCAATTTGATTTCTTTAACAGCTAGATAACCTACATGTAATCTAAATGTTCAGAATATCTTTTTTTCATCAATATTTTTGATCAACTTTGACAGATTTCCTAAAAACCCTAATTTTCTTGCTTTGACCCACTCTGCTGGGTCAAAAATCGATTTTAATAGATACAATTTTTAAGCCAATTAAGAAAAGTCATCAAATTTCAGGGTAAATTAATGACATTTATGGTACTTTACGACTCAAATATGCTTTGACGTATTTGTATGTAAGGGTTAAATGCATATATTTAAGAGGTTTCACTAAAATCTAAAGCACACATCCACTCGACCCTCAGTGGTTTGAAGAAGAGGGGAGGTGTTTGGATATTTGTCTCCTTTAAAATCACGTGACTGCCTCTAATGTCAGACTTGTCCTCCTCCTCCTGTGACACTGCTTCAGGTCTGAGTATCTGCGGAAGCAGCAACACTTTTTTTTCCTGACACTTTCATCCATCCAGCCAAAGGTTAGCTGCAACACGACGGCGTTTGATGAGAGAAAATTAATCCTCAAAGACCTTTTCCTGATTTTTGTTTTTCTTCTGATTTCACTCGTGCTTTTATCCTGTCTGTCAATCAAAACTCACCTGCTGGTTTGGGCAGAAACTGTTCTGTCTGCTTCAAACAACTCTGCTTTTTGCTTGAATAGTCTGTGTATGCAGCAGTTACTCATTGCAAACTATAAAATACAATATATCCAAATAAATGGACTTCTAGATCCTAAACTGCTCTGCCATGGGCTTCACCATTATTGACCTGTTTTCTGTCATTTTGGCTGCTTCCATAGTTATAAAAACACTTCCACCGCTGGCAGCTGCTCACAAATCTTTTTAATTTAAGGACACATTAATCACCAATGTAGGAAGTGGAACTGAGTGTTTATTTCTAGATGATTCATTTTTCTTCTGTGTGTTTTTTATAAATATCAAAACATTCAGCTCCTTTAAGACATTCCAGCTAAGATTTTTGATATTTCAGCTATTCTGTTAATTTAATCTTTTTCCAGCTTTTTTTCTTGCTAATTTAAGTATTTAGTGTTTTAGCTGGTTTCTGCTAACTTCAGCTGTTTTCTACAATTTAAGCTACTTTTAAGCCAATTTCAGCTAATTTTAGTTTTGTCAGCCAAATATTAAGTTCTTACTACTTAATTCAGCAAACGAATGCTTTGTTTCTTTGTAGATTTAGGATTTGCAGATGCTTTTCAGCTATCTTGTTGCTAATTTCAGCTTTTTTCCCCCCTATTTTACAACAAAAAGCTAAATTTCGGTACAAATTTTATTTTTTCTGCAAAAATCTTTCAGCATTATGTATCCATGCTGCATTTCTGAAGAAAATGCAAAATCTGTATTTGTTTTGTTTTCTGACTAGTCTACATGGCATTGCAACAAGCATCTTTAAATAAGATTGAACGTTTTAAAGTAGACACATCTTGCTTTTAATTCCTTCCTTTTCACATTTAAATCATTCAGTTGGAGTCTTTATAAAATGGATCTGCAAAGCTTTGGTCTGAATTCCTTCTTATTCTAATTCACCAATTCACTAATTCCTATTCACCAGCCCCTCTTTCACCACTTTTTCTGATGTGTGTAAAAGCAGCTGGTTTTGTTACTGTTCCATTAAGACGCTTCAAGCTCCGCCCCCCTCCTGCTTCCAGATCGATCCACTTTGAGAGAGGAGGGTTATGTTTTCTAGCTTGCAGAAATGTTTTATTTACAATTTAATTAAAACATATAAGGCTTACATGTTAGAGCCAGAGTCTGACCCAGAACCAGAGGAGAATGAAGATGAGGAAATTGTAGTTGTTAAGTCCAGACTTCATTTGGCAGCTCCGTTGCAGATAATTTGACGTAACAGACTCAGCAAACAGAAAATAGAGAAAATTGAACGGGCTGAAAAATAGAATATACAGATATCTTTGCAGCACCAAAAGACTAAATTCAACTTTTCTGTCTCCTAGAGACTCCAAGTTCACAAAAAAATGTATTTAACAGCTAAAAAATTGGATTTTTGCATATGTCCCCTTTAAAATCACATAAATAATGGTACAACTTGTGTTTAAATATGTAGCTCGGTTGGGTGACCTTTGAATGATTTTTGACACTATCAGATATCTCTTATGTGAAATTAGCTATGTTAATGAGCATTAGAATGGCCCATTTCATCCAGCACTGGCAAAAGCTGCAGAAAGACACAGTGAACCACATAATGTGTCTTTAATGGCTTCTATTACTGCAGGTCCATAATGCTGCTCCGGGGTCGGTTATAAACGAGTTTATTAGCCTTTTTGGGTCTGACCTAAAACGACTTGCTGCTCTACGTATGTGACCAAACATGCCTTTGTGTGTCTGAACTCTGCAATCAAACCAAATAACTGCAGACGGTTGGCTTGACCCTGACACAGATGATGAATTGAAGTCTATTTGGGGGAAAAAATGGTCAAATAAATGAAGTAAAGAAACATTGCGTGGCTTGCTGCCATAAACCGAGCAGTCTTTTTTTTTTAAATAGCTGGTGACTCTGGAGCGGGGCCGAGCTGTCTCTTCAGCTAGCTTTCCTGGGAGGGAATGTCTCCTGGAGCGGCTCTGCCCCTGCGCTGGCTTCGTTCGGGTGATGGTGGTGATGATGGCAGGGCGGCAGGCTAGAGCGAACATTCCCAGAGAGCACATCAAGTGTTACTAAGTCGCCTGGATGGTTTGTGAGAGACGAGCGCAGTGTCCCCTCCCCTGTGGTCTGATCTTTGTCTCTCTGTGTGCACAGTGAGAGTTACAGTTTTTCTATTTCTTTTTTTACAAGACGGGAAAGATCGAAGAAAATACTTCTAGGCAAACTTGATTGTAAATTTTAAATCTTGCATACTTTAAAAGCACCTTTCATGCCAGCATTTTAGATTAAGATCATTCTTGTACCATCCTGTCTGTATAATCTTGTGCAATATTGCAAAAACTCACATGATCTGAAGTAAGATCTGTGAATGAATAATAGCCAGCTAAGACCACACCAAATAGTGCCTCAATATCTGTCAAATTCACTGAGTTGGAGTCATTTTTATTATGTAGGCCACATGTGTCAAACTCAAGGCCCTTGGGACAAATGTGGCCCGCCACTGCATTTTATGTGGCCCGCAAGAGCTTCAAAGACGTATTGATGTCTTGAAATAAGTACATGTTTTAAAGCCAGCATGGACCATAAACTTCATCTCCCATAATGCATGTTGATTATTGTAACTACAAAATACAGCATCCAACTAGGAGCAGGTACTCAATGTTGAAGAGTAGCTGGCAAAATTTGTTGTGTAAAATCTCCATTTTGCTGCATTTTTGTCAGTTACCTTTGATGCAGCGCAGTTGTACTGCAAAGTGGGAATTTACCACTTACAAAACTGGAGACAGTGGGAATTCCCTGTGGGAAAGTGGGAGAGTTCAGAATTCAAGATGGCATCTTTTCAACTCAGTGAGAGAACTTTCTTACTTTTACTTTTAATAGTATTTCTGTGTTATTTTGAAGATTTTTTATTATTATTGATTAACGTTAGATGCAGTATTGTATTTTATACTTTTTATACTGATCATTGCAACCTTTAAGGTTAATGAATGAATGAAAGATTTATTTATTTGGGACAATGTGCGATTAAAGCATAATTTGATACATTGCACCAGATTTAGCCTAAGGCTAATTTTCATCTGTAGTCCCATCAAACAGTAAAAACAAAACAACATCCAACAGTAAAATGGAAATAGGAGAGGGGAAAAAACAGAAGAATAAAAATAATATAAAATAAAACATTTTTTTAAATTAAAAAATACATAAAACACCACACCCCACTCTCCAAACATAAAATCATGCCCACCTCCACCCCAAACAAAACCTTAAAACAGAATGAGTGTTGGTGTGTGTCTTATCATGTGTTCTATCTTTTAGCCTAAACAAAAACGAGTTACGTTCTACGTCTGACGTAAAAGGCATCACCTCCAGGGCTGTAACCAGGAAGAGATGTACATTATAAGGCCAATTCATTATTATAGTGGAAGGAAGTATTTTTCATAAGTTATTAGTTTTGCAGAGTCTCTGTTCAGATCCAGCCTGGACGAACTAGGCTGCTGTGTTTGGGTTTTCCTGATATTAGTTCAAGGTCTTACTGAGGCCTGTGCTGCAGTTGCTGTACCTGATTGGAGTCAGAAGATTGAGAATAAAGTTTTAAGAAGAAATCCATTGGATTCCTGTTTTATTCAGACATACCATTTTTGAACGCATTTTTTTCCTACAATTTATTTCACCTTTTAGTCAGTTGTACACGTATCTTTTCAGTGTTTATAAGAGGACGCGTTAAAACACTGTTTCTATGCAGGAAATACCAGGTAGAGCACAGTTGGTGTTTGTTAGCGGTGCTCATCTATAGGAATGAGACGAGAAATGTGATGTTTTGGGTTTTCAGTTGAAGTTAAACACAAAGTTAATTAAAGGGGCAAAATCATGTAAAATCAACTTTTTTTGAGTTTTATATCATGTTATAATGTTATACTCTCATAAAAAAAACATGCCCAAAGCCTTGCTCTGACTCATTCATGCATGTTTGAGAAATCCTGCAGTGTTTTTAGGAAGCCATGCTGAGGAGCAAAACAACAGGCGGGGACCAGAAACAC